GCTTTAGCTTTGATGACCACCGGCAGCTCTCCAGAGGATAAATCCCCTGAGACATCCTGAGACCATTCCTGGGGGTTCTATTTGATAAATACCTTCCCAAGCACTTGGTACATTTGCCCACGTTCTGCAACTCATTTTGGCTTCTTACACGTTCCACATCGTCAATGGTCTCTGAAGGTCTCCGAAGGTCTCGTCTGACGAGCCGCAGAAGTCTCTCCCGTAGCCATCTGAACTTGGCTCGGCTTCTCCTCCCGGTGTCCAGATGTCCTTCAAGGCTCAGGCGCTGAAGTTGTCCAGGTTTTGCACTTGTAATGACACAAAAACACGATCATTCACGCACACACACATTCACACAGTTTTTCCACGCCCACTCTTCCTTGTCCATTGAACATGTTGATGCTGCTATACAAGATGTCTCAAACACAGATTTCGGATTCGCCGTTTACTTGTCACATGCAAAGGATCCGGAGTTCCGGTCGTGCCATGACTCGCAAATACAAACTCTGATCTGCTTGGCTGTACGAACAGATTGTTGTGGATTGCCGCGGGCATTTGCTCGGCCGCTGGAACCCTCAGATCGGTCTTGATTCATCTTGACTCTATGTGATGCTTGTTCCCGCTTTGGGTTTTGTTTTTCGAAGAGCCACATGAACAATAGTGAACCTCATAGAAGTGACCTGGACTTGGAAGCACCCTGAGCTCTGAGCGCGCTTTACAATTGTGCATGTGGTCATTACCGTTTGCCGCCCAACTTTCATCAGGCGAAGCTTATAGGGAAATTTCAATGTGAACAGTGAATTGCCCATCCAAGGTTGGGGAAGTTTCTTCCTTCCTGTGTCCTGTTCTTTTTTCTTCCCCCATGAGGCCTGGCATCCGTCTTGGCCAAGGAGTTGTTGAACGGCCAGCCCGCAAGCTTAGCATGTGGTTTGCGGGCCTGCATATGGAACCGCGGTCCAACCCACTAAGTAGGATCACAATAAAGCAGACCGTACTACTGGACCCATTCGCAATACTCAGCTCTACATGAAATGTGCTGGAGGGGTGCGGTGAGAGTCAGGAACGTCGTCTGCGTCCGAACGGAAGACATCAACATCTCCGGATCCCTCTACCGCAACAAGTTGAAGTATGCCAACTTCAAGAGGAAGCACATGTGCCTGGGCTTTGTTAGACTTTTTTCAGTCGCATCTCACCGCATCTCACCACCAAAAGAACCCTGATTTGATTGCAAAGCCAAGGAACACCAATCCTCGTCAAGGACCTTTCCACTTCCGTTCTCCTGCCAAGATCCTGTGGCGCACCATTCGTGGTATGGTGGCTTTGGCTTGAGAATCTTTATATAGAGTGTCAAGTCATTTTGAAGCTTTGATCATACCTTGCTATGAGCATCCTGATCACACTGGGATCCTAGATGTTTGCCGCCGCCCTATGTCTTCCATTGGGCAACCCAAAATGCATGTTTGGGCATAACATGCAACGCACTTAGGTACCCCACAAGACTGCTCGTGGAGCGGCTGCGCTCGACAAGTGCGGATGCCTTTCCTGCGGCGGTCGACTTCAGAGCTGACATGGCTGAGGGATGCTGAGGGTGCATCCACGAGAAAACAAGGGTAATTATGGGATTGATGCTATCATGGACGCCATGGCCTAGATACAATTTGAGTGCGACAATACCATCCAAGCATATTATATGGTATTTGATATCAAACAAGGTGAGCCCGCGGACCCAAAAGCAAAAAGAAGCGCACAACCCAGGAAAAATAAACAAACACAAATTAGCAGGCCAAAACGAAGCATCAGCCCCCTCCAGGCTTCGTGGCAACTATGATATTTCAAGCATCGCGGTTCTGGTGCAACACAGCTCCACTCACCTCCCAACGGGCTTCCGCGAAGCATGGAGCAGCACTACCCCCACCCATGCTTCGTTCTACTTGTGCACTGACCTGGAGCAGCCTGCAATGATGCTGGTGGTGCAACCATGTGCTCGACGCAACAATCCTGCCGTTTCAGCCACGACTTGACCGTCTGTCGCGTGCATTGCGCACTTTTTGGACACCCAAGACCATCGTATAAGCCCCGCAGCTCCACTCACCTCCCCACGTGCTTCCGCGAAGCATGGAGCAGCACTACCCCCGCCCATGCTTCGTTCTACTTGTGCAATGATGCTTGTGGTGCAACCATGTCCTCGTAACTAGCATATCAGCCGCGCAAGCGTCCACACCCATGCACTCCCCAGCCCCGTCCACACCCAACCCACGCCGTCTCACTCCCCTCCATCTTCCCTCCTTAGCCCCGTCACCGCTCCATTCACCTCCCAACGTCCCTCCGCGAAGCTGGACCAGCACTACCCCCACCCATGCTTCGTTCTGCTTGCGCACTGCCCCCAGAGCAGCCTTGTGGTGCGACCATGTGCTCAACGCAACCATGTCTGCCGCGTGCATTCTGCACATTTTGGACACCCAAGACCATACCTCAGCCCCGCAACACCGCTCCATTCACCTCCCCACGTGCTTCCGCGAAGCATGGAGCAGCACTACCCACCCACTACTTTTGCACTGCCCCAGAGCAGCCTGCAATGATGCTTGTGATGCTTGCGGGCTCCCGTCTCGCTGCCCTCCATTTTCCCTCGCCAGCTCCCGTCTCGCTCCCCTCCATCTTCCCTCCCCAGTCTCGTCCCCACCCACGCGCCTCCCGTCTCGCTCCCCTCCATCTTCCCTCCCCAGCCCGTTCCCCCCTCCATCTTCCCTCCCCAGCCCCAGCCCCGCCCATCTTCCCTCCCCAGACCCAACCCCGCCCATGCGCCTGCGCTCTCGCTCCCCTCCATCTTCCCTCCCCAGCCCCGTCCCCACCCACGCGCCTCCCGTCTCGCTCCCCGCCATCTTCGCCGCCTCCATTTTCCGTCCCCGACAACGTAAGCTTTTCTTCGCTCTCCCCGGAACTAGCGACTGAACGAGAACCCAAGCATCGGAGATGCTTTTGGGAAAAAGATTGAAAGGAGGACACCCCATGCAACTATATAAGAACACAATGCTCCAAACCGCAGTCCCTCACAGAAACTGATGCCTGATTTCGACCCCAAAGTCCCATGGGTTTTACCGCATGGAATGTTGTTAGCTTCTTGTTACTAGTAGTAAGGCCAAGAGCCCCTAGTAGCGTCCTTGCTCCTAGTAGCGATGCCCTTGTTACTAGTAGCTTCTTGTTACTTGTTACTATATAGTAGCAAATTAGCTAATAGCAATGCACCTGTTCCTAGTAGAGATGCCCTTGTTACTAGGCAACCTGGTGGCTGCATTCATGATTTCGAGTTGACCCTCTTATTGCTGTCCACCCTGACCAGTTTCACGGGCTTTTGGCCGAGGCTCAAGACCTTCGAGGGCATTCCACACCCCTATGACCGCAAGAAGAGTGTCTCGATTGAAATTCTAAGCTTTGGGATCTTGCACCCTCCGAAGACAAGTTCCCGTTGCTGCAGATGCCCCAACAAATTAGGACCACTTCTGCAGTGGTGCTGTAGTACTTTCTGGCTTCTCCTTCAGTCTCCTTCTGCTATAGCACATCTATGGACTCGATCCCTTGCTTAGGAATGGTGGCTGGAGCCTGAGCTTTTATTTGTCGCAGCACATCTTGTGTTGCAGAATCTCAGTAAGCTAACAATATACACACATACTTATTATATATATATATTATATTATATCATATCCATATTGTGATACAGGATGTTCAATTGCTGCATATGTATGTATGACATATGTATATATGTTTGCACAGACATGTGTTCCATGTTGATTCCGGATCAATATTCAACAACAATCTTAGCCTCCAAAACTGCTGTCACAGGTGCCCAGCTGCCTCAAGGTCTTGCGCTTGCGCCCGGAGCGCCGCTTTTGCCGCCTTGGCGACCTCTCCAAAGAGGCCAGACACACAGAGGGAATCAATTTTGCGCGGAGACCATGGATAGCGCAAAAGCTTAGAGCCTGCCATGTCCTCATAAGTCATTTGCCTTCATTCTTGACTGTTTGGGAGGGCCTCCTTCTGTTTTGAGTCTAGAGTCTAGAGAGTCTGGAGACAAGGAGTGGGCTAGGGCCAAGTTCCAATATGTTCCCATACTTCAAGAGCATGTGCTCGAAATTCTTACAAGGACATGGTCTGTTAGAGATCCGTGTCTCACTTGCATCGTCATTTCTAGCAGCATAGGGTCAGAACTCAGCGTGGTCGACAATCAGAGTCGATACATTAAAAGAGTCGTGCTGCACACGGTTGCTGCATGGGAAAGTGTTGAAATTCACCTCATCCCCATGGACCCCGTAGCGTTGACTCTCAAGGTAGAGCAAAAGGTAGCGCTTACCGGACTAGCAGGGTTAGCTAGGTAGTTAGTACTATTAGAGCTGATCCTGTAAAATACAGGTTATCAGCCGTAGGCTAGCTAGACTAGAGCTATGGACCCGATGGATGACGACGTCCCACCGAATGCCTACGGAAGTGGCTTTGACATAGTTCCGAGTGTGCCCAATAGTTTGGATGCAGTTCAACGGCATGAACAAGCAGTTGCACAAGTGGCTGCAATGGATCCAAGGGTTGCTTCGGAGGTGTACCAAGAGATGCTAAATAGTGGTGGTAGTGTTACTCTTCAAGAGGCGACACAAGCTACCCTAGCAGGTATGCCGTCAGCCACCGTAGCTGGTGCGCCAACAGTAAACAACTTGTTGGCAATGACTCGGCTCAACGTCGTCAACCTGAATGCAACGCCAAACGACGAAGAACTACGACGGGAGTTACAACAACATGAGTTTTTGCTCAGCGAACAAGCCAGGAGGGAAGCTGAAATCGAGGCATTGCGCTTCAGGAGTATTTACGAAAGAGAAGCTTCCGAATCTATAGCGGCAACAAAGGCTGCCGCAGAGCAGGCAATGTTGAATGTTCAACAAAGGGCCCAACAGCAGGAACAAAGTGTTCAGCAAATGGTCCAACAGCAAGACAATGTTGCAATCAAACGGTTGCAAGGTACATTGGAGGAGCAAAGGGAACATTTTCAGCAGCGGCTAGCTCAGGCGACAGCAGCTCATGAGAAAGTTGTACAGGAAAAGAATGCCATGGCGGAAGAAGGCAATGCTTTTGTTGACAAAATGAGAACTGAACATCACCAGTATGTTGAGCAACAGGAGGCTAAGCTGAAGGCAGCTCTAGAGGCAAAGGATCAGGCAAGACATTCGTCTGCTGAAGAATCCCGGATCGCCATAGAGCTTGACTTCAAGCGAGAACAACTGGACAGTTCGTTAGCAATTGCACAGGCAAAGATCAAAACTCTTGTCAATGAGATGGAGACAACAAATAAGCAATATAAGGTTGATCGGGAAACGCAAGAGCAAACTATAGTTGAGCTTCGCAAGGACAATGCAATGTTGAAGGGTGAAATGGACGAGCTCAGACGTGTTGTACAGTCCTTGACAGACAGGGAAGAGGAACGCAAGGAAGCGGAGCGCAAGGCGCAATCCTCTAGCCCCGTTAAGCCAGGGCCGCAATATCCTGAGCCACTTACACCTTCTGCTCGACAAGACGCTCACCCAATTGGTCAACCGCGATCTTTTGAACCTCTACGCACGGAAGGCACTGTTCCAGCAACCTTAGACGGTAAGCCCCGTGAGGAAGGCGGATCCCCTATCAAGACGGCTATGGATGCAACAGCGTCCACGCGCAACACTGGATTCCCATCAATGTTCTCAGGGACAGGGGCGCCCGCAGCGGAACAGGCAACGGCCTCTACGGACAGGCGACAATTCAAACAACCGGATCCGTGGACGGAGTACATGAAGAAGTCAGCACAATATAACTTCAGTGATGATCCTTTGTACAAAAGCTCCTTTAATCAGGAAGCAACAAAGACTAAGGATGATCGCAAGGACGAAGGGCCGGCTTCTCAGGTAAGAACTCCACAAGACCAAGATGTGGGGGAAATCATCAAGAAGGCCTTGCTAGAAGGGTTTAAGGGCGCTAAGAGCAAAGACTCTGACAAACCCAAGGCAAAGGAGGCTGATAAGATAGATCTTCCCGAATTCCCAAGTCCTGATAGGTACCGCACTTGGAGGGCCGCTGTTCGCGAAGCGATACGGTCCGCGTCCCATGACCCAGACGCTGCGTTCGCATGGGTGCTTGAGGTGTACGCTGTTCGTGAAGACAAAGCCAAGCTTTGTTCCGAATTGGCTGACCCAGGCAAGTTTCGGACCTTAGACACGAAACTACTTGCTGCTTTAACTAAGGTTGCCAAAGGTGAACTGTCTCAGCAGATCCTTAATTATAAGGAATCTGAGGCACAGCAAGGTAGGATCGTCCGTGGTCGTCAGGTGTTGCTCATGTTTGAAGTCCACTTCAAGACCAGTGAAGAAGCGGGTGCACTGTATGGCACTGAGGACCTCCTCAAGATCTCGCTTGATAGCGACGACTTGAAATCCTTTCTAAGAAAATGGGAGAGTGTTCTGACCGGAATGAGTCATGTCCCAGACCCGGCAACTCTCAAGGATTTGTTTTATAGAGAGGTTAGGAAGTCCCGCAAGCTCAGATTTGACCTTGATGTTTATGAACGAGCGCCGGAGGGAAGTAACGACAGAAGCTATGAATTTCTTATCAATTCTGTTCGACGTTACCTTGACAGGGAAAGGCTCAGGACCAATCGCGAAAAGATATCACAATCACACGCGGCAAAGTTCGCAAACCCGGCACCGCACGACAAGCGCGCGCGAAGCCCAAGTTATGGCAAACGAAGCACAAAGGGTGACGGAAGCAATCAATGCTATGAGTATGCCAAAACTGGTAAGTGTAAGTACGGGAGCAAATGCAAGTACTCACACGACTCTAGCGCCCGTCCCCGCTCCCTTAGTCGGGAGTCGTCTCGTTCGCGTAGCGCAAGTCCGAGCAGCCGTTCATCGTTCAGGTCAAGCCGATCTCGAAGTTCGTCAAGACACACTTCCCGCTCCAGTTCAAGGAACTCATCAAGAAGCTCCAGTAGAGGGAGGAAATCTGACAAGCCATGCAGGTTCTTTGCAAAGGGTAACTGCAAAAGGGGTGACAAATGCCCGTTTAAACACGGAGACACTGCAACACCGGCCCCGCGCAGAAGGAGTCCCTCGCCCGCAGCTAAAAGGTCTAAGGACAAGAAATCCAAGAAGGACAAAAAGGACAAAAAGAGCAAACGGGAAAAGAAGGACAAAAGTCCAAAGGCCAGTCCATGTATTCAAACAGGTTTCGCAATGTCTTGCTTAGCAGCAACCGCAACTCGGACCCAAAAGAGTAAAGACTACTGGGAATTCTCCAAAGATGGCAACGAGTTGATTAGGCACCATTTGAAGCCTAGGCGCAGGTCGTTTCTCCCAACACGTAAATCCTGTCCAGTTGAGTCATCTAGGTTGGAAGACCAGTTTACCATGGTAGTCACTGACTCAAAGGGAAAGAGTAGGACAATCAAGGGTAATTGGAAGAAACACCCAAACGCGAAACAGAAATTTGATTGGACTGGAAAGTCAATTTTCCGTGTTGTGCAAGAGAAGAGAATTCGTTTTGAATTAGAACCGGAGGTACACACCTTTCCTGTTTGGAAGGAAATGTACCGGCATGTAGTGAATAAGAGCAAGAAGCGGAACCTGTTCCGGACCACTGAGGAATGCCCAAAGTCCCGCGAGTGTGACACTAAGGACGCCATTTTGGCAGCGGAGTCACTTAGGCAGATGCTCGTTTCGATGGATACCGAGGAGCCTGCGTGTGATTTCCTTTGTGAACATTCCCCAGAAGGCCCCGATGATTTGTGCTGCACGAAGTGCAGAACAGTCGTCGGAGAACAGGTGCCGTCATGTGCTCGCTTAACGGCGATGCCAAACATGGTTGGTATGGAGAAGTGGCTGGGTGACACTGGCACTGACCAGGACATCGTAGGTAAGGACTCTAAGACAGTCAACAGGGCCACCAAGATATTCAAATCCAACGAACCAATCTCCCTTACTACTGCCAATGGACCTATCACTGCTGACGAAGTAGTAGAGGTGATCTTGCCAGGGTTATGTGAATCCTTCAACCCCTACATTCTCCAAAGTACCCCCTCTGCACTTTCAATTGGTTTGAGGTGCTTAGAACAGGGATATGATTTTGTTTGGGGAAAGGACACTACTCCCATATTTCTTCGACCTGATGGACAATGCGTTAAATTCAAATTGCAAGGTAGGGTTCCATATATTGATGAAACATGTACCCCATTCTCAATTCCTGAATCACTGAGGACTCGCCTTACTAAGGTACTCGATTCCATCCACCAGTTCACCATCGACCAGGGCTACGCCATGGCCAGCCATGAGTCCGAACCCGAGGAAGACCAAGAGGAGGCTGACGAAGCTGGCGTAGATGCCAATGCCGATGATGGACAGGAGGACGAAGAGGACAGTGACCCAGAAGTTGAGGTTCCTTTTGATTTTGAAGACGTTCCCGTAGCAGGGGAGAAGACCGAAGAGGAACTTCGAAAGGAAGCAAAATCAGGGGCGCATCAATTCACACATCGACCAAAGAATCCCTACTGCGATGTTTGTAGCGAAGCTAAAATGCTTGCTCCCTACGGTAGAAGCGTAGGCGGATCGCAACATGTTTTGGCGCGTGGGTTTGGCGACCACATAGTGTGCGACCATGTTATCCCCAAGGATATTGAAGAAGGGATAGAAGGCCAAACGTCAATGTTGGTGATCAAAGATGTTTATACTCAATACAGATGTGTTTATCCTTCAGAAAACAAAACAGCCGATTCCATTGTGAAAGCTTTTAAACATTTTCTGAAGACTTCTGATATTGTTGGTATAGTGTATACCGACAACGCTCCAGAAATGCTGGATGCCATAGAAGAACTTGGTTTCAAGCACCAGACTTCTGTTGAATATCAACAT